ATATTTCTGCTTCTTTTCTTCATATCATTTCTCTCTTTAATGCAACCTAATGAATGAAGCGACAAGCAAACAGCAGCTGGATTGTCTCTCTGTAATAAAATCAGACTGAATGAGTTATAATAAAAGATCATCTGAGCAAAACTTTCTTCTGTTCTTTGGCTTAGCAAGAATAAAAATTTGAGCAATCAAAACAAGACAATGTGTGGTTTATTCTGACTTTGTGTTGTTCTGTCTTGATAGTATCCTGCAGTAGTTGTGAAAATTTAAATATCACATTATAACAAAGAACTTTTCATATTCTTTGCTATGTGGAAGTCAAACAGACCCCACTTGCTTCTGACAGCTGGATTAAAGAGATGCTATTCATGCTGCAGTTAGAAAAAATAAGGTACAGCAAAATGAGATGCTATGAAAAGTTCACAGAGAACTGGTCTTCATTGGCTGAATTGGTAAAACTTTTCAAAGACTATTGGTAGCTTGTGCCCAGTTTAGTGGTTCTACACACGTCAGTGTGTGATGGAGGAAACTGCCCCTTACTACCTTTTTATCGTCTTTAATCATAGATGTATATGTATCTATACACACATTTATGTTATTTATTTTCTCTCTTTTTTGGTTTCATTCTCTCTGAGAGACTAAATACAGGATAACTTTCTTTATGTTTAGTTAATATGTTAAAGAATTATATTTTACTCCTACAGGTCATTTGAAACATATATAAATAAGTTTAAAAAAAATCTTGCTTTGATTATTTGAAAGTTGGGAAAAAAAGTAATGCAGAGTTAAAATGCATATTAAGGCATATGTGGCATTTGAACTATTAAAATGGCAGCTAAAAACATTTTTAGAGGAGATCTCAAACGTGTGGATCTGAGCTCATGGCCGACTCTGGTCTCTAATCCCAGTGGATGCCAGGAATCTATTGGATTTATATGTAGTGTGCATTTATGTTGAACCATCTAAATCCTAAATAAATTCAAGTGCTACAAAAAGCTAGCAAAAACATTGAATCGTTCACCTGTTTGTAATTTAATCACTGTATAAATCCAGGCATTCCTTGATTTCCTTTATTGACGAAGAAAATCCCGTCTGAGACATCGAGGTCAGGATTTAACCTGCAGTCCAGGAAATACTCAGATGTGAGCCAGAAGAGATTGTATGAAGATAAAGCCTAAATAGTTCATCTATGTTTAAAACTAGAGAAATGTTATAAGACAAGACTGGGTGTCCTTTTTCCAGGAGGGTGCAGTACAAGGTATGAACAGCAGAGGGTGCCAGTAATTGTGCCATGTCATTTCATGTAAAAATGTGTTTAGGTTTTATATATCGCTACTAAATTAAAATGTTATGATCAAATGTTTGGCTTTCCATTATATTTTAGATTTTTGGAAGCTAAACTTGGACTATCCATGAAGGGCTTTAGTGTTGCTAAATACTCCATTCCTTTTCTATATCTGAAGCTCAGTGAAAAGATCACTGGCAAAGATCTAATCAGACATAAGAGTAGCAACTAGTACCAGCATGAGCTGAGCTTCAGGTGTGAATGATGAGATGGAGATCACTGAAGGAAGGACGAACAAGAAGCTGAAAA